GTGAAAAAAACAGTTTAGTCATGCACATGACTCCTTGTCTCTAATGAACCATAGTGAATAGTTCACTACTACAAAATTTGACCTACATTCATGTGGGTGAGACACATACATGTACATAGCCCTTCTAAATGCATGCTATGTCACCCATGAAGTCACTCCACATCTCTCATTTATTTATTTATTTATTTATTTATTTATTTATTTATTAACACACAACATCCCCCGGAGGGGATGAAAAGGGTTACAAATCAGATATTAGTAAAAGAAAAATAACCACATAAAGAGTAAGGGAACAAAAAGGCATAAAAAAAAAAAAAAAGATAATAAGTTGAATACAAGGAATGTATTACTGGCTTAGTTTATGTAGGTGCTGCTGTCTTGTATTAAAACAGTTTTTTAAATATTGCGCTAAAGGAATTGACATTTTCTCGTCACTTAGTAATGATATGAATTTATTTTCATTACTAAATTTGTCAAAATTTGGTATACGTTTATTAGCTACAATGTAAAGTTTTGAATCTTATTTCATTGTAATGAGGACAATTTGTGACAAAATGTTGTTCATCTTCAACATGGTCATTGTCGCACATATTGCAGACTCTGTCTTTAAAATCCAATCCTGTATGCCGGCCTGTTTTCAATTTTCAGACAGTGGTTGCCAAGTCTAAATTTTGTTAAGGATTTGCGAAGTTCACTGTTTTTCATAATTGTTAAGTAGTTTTCTTGTTCTATTTTGGTTTTAAAAAGTTTGTAGGTTCTTAGTTTATTTTTAGAATTTGATTTTTTCCTATTGTCATTATTTATTTCATTTTTCCACTCAGTTGTAAACTCTTCTTTTAATTTCTCATCAATTGTTTTTAATTTTGATAATGAGATAATATTTGTTTCATTTAAAAGATAAGAATGGTTAATATTTTTTAATATCAGATCAAGTTTTTTAAACCATTTACTTTTAATAATTTTATTGACATAGTATGCTTCTTGAAGTAGAGTATTTGTGGAATTTGCAATACGATTGGCATATTTTATCATTTACTTACAATACTTACTGTATGGTGAATGGTGATTTGGAAATACAACTTTGTATGACTTATACACCCATGGAAATTATACCCTGTATGAACTAAACACACAAACTCATCAACAGGGGGGTGCAGATATAAACTGGAATGGCCCATTTCAAGCCCACCGCGATATCCATATAGTGAGACATTCCAACCGCCAGAACTTGCTGAATAATAACTTTCACCGTGATTGATGAGAGTCTGGTCTAAAAAAAACAATGTTGACTTGACCTTTATGATGAAACACTACCGGGTAGTAGTGATGTTATTCTTAGCAAGCAGATTAAAGGTCAAAGATGATTGACAGCCAGTAAACAAAAGCATCGTGTGCCATTGTAGCAGAGTCGTTTGCTGCAACCCCATTTTTCTTTCCAAATACTGGCTGTATCCTCACCTAACTAAAGTACACCAAATACTGGCTGTACCTCAACCAAACCACACCAAGTACTGGCTGTACCTCAACCAAACCACACCAAGTACTGGCTGTACCTCAACCCAACTACACCAAATACTGGCTGTACCCTCAACCCAGCAACACCAAATACTGGCTGTACTTCCACCCCAGCAACACCAAATACTGGCTGTACCTCAATCAAACTACACCAAATAATGGCTGTACTTCAACCAAACCACACCAAATACTAGCTGTACCACAACCCAACTACACCAAATACTGGCTGTACCTCAACCAAACTACACCAAATACTGGCTGTACCTCAACCCAGCTACACCAAATACTGACTTCAACCTAGCTACACCAAATACTGGCTGTACCCCCACCCAACCACACCAAATACTGGCTGTACCCCCACCCAACTACACCAAATACTGGCTGTACCCTCAACCCAGCAACACCAAATACTGGCTGTACTTCCACCCCAGCAACACCAAATACTGGCTGTACCTAAATCAAACTACACCAAATACTGGCTGTACTTCAACCAAACCACACCAAATACTAGCTGTACCACAACCCAACTACACCAAATACTGGCTGTACCTCAACCAAACTACACCAAATACTGGCTGTACCTCAACCCAGCTACACCAAATACTGACTTCAACCCAGCTACACCAAATACTGGCTGTACCACAACCCAACTACACCAAATACTGGCTGTACCTCAACCAAACTACACCAAATACTAGCTGCACCTCAACCAAACTACACCAAATACTGGCTGTACCCTCAACCCAGCTACACCAAATACTGGCTGTACCTCAACCAAACTACACCAAATACTGACTTCAACCCAGCTACACCAAATACTGGCTGTACCACAACCCAACTACACCAAATACTGGCTGTACCTCAACCAAACTACACCAAATACTAGCTGTATCTCAACCAAACTACACCAAATACTGGCTGTACCCCCATCAAAACCACACCAAATACTGGCTGTACCTCCACCTACCCCACCCAACTACACCAAATACTGACTGTACCTCAACCCAGCTACACCAAATACTGGCTGTACCTCAACCAAACTACACCAAATACTAGCTGTACCACAACCAAACTACACCAAATACTGGCTGTACCCACAACCCGGCTACACCAAATAGTGGCTGTACCCCACCCAACCACACCAAATACTGGCTGTACCCCCACCTAACTACACCAAATACTGGCTGTACACCCATCCCAACCACACCAAATACTGGCTGTACCTCCACCTACCCCACCCAACTACACCAAATACTGACTGTACCTCAACCCAGCTACACCAAATACTGGCTGTACCTCAACCAAACTACACAAAATACTAGCTGTACCACAACCAAACTACACAAAATACTGGCTGTACCCACAACCCGGCTACACCAAATAGTGGCTGTACCCCACCCAACCACACCAAATACTGGCTGTACCCCCACCTAACTACACCAAATACTGGCTGTACACCCATCCCAACCACACCAAATACTGGCTGTACCTCCACCTACCCCACCCAACTACACCAAATACTGACTGTACCTCAACCCAGCTACACCAAATACTGGCTGTACCTCAACCAAACTACACCAAATACTAGCTGTACCACAACCAAACTACACCAAATACTGGCTGTACCCTCAACCCAACTACACCAAATACTGGCTGTACCCCCACCCAACTACACCAAATACTGGCTGTACCCTCAACCAAACCACACCAAATCCTGGCTGTACCCCCACCACAACCACACCAAATATTGGCTGTACTCCCACTCCAACCTCTGTGTTAACGTCACTCCAACCCAATTGCATAGCAGGGAATTTGAAACTGAGTATCGTGACATGTCATGTTCAGCAACCTCGCTATTCATAATACTGGTAAATAGACAGGGTATGTATGACATGACTCAAGCCGACCAATCAGTGTTCGCCATATAGAACACGCGCCCAGCAATTTTTTGTTCAATGTTCATACCACTGTTTATGTGAACCATGCTCTTTTACGCATTATAGTGTACTTTGCCATTTATAGTACAAACCGTCTTAAATTATTTTAAAAATATAATTCACTAATCTAGACTCAATATTGAGTGTTTGCTGTATAACCCAGAAATTCCTATAATCTCTGCTGTGTGGTCACTCTTCATGATGTATCGCTGTCCCTAGATGAATAGCTGCCGTTCTGTACATATTTAAACTTAGCTCAATGTACGGGGGAAAATAATGTTGTCGGCGATAAAAATCAATATATCGTTGCAGTTCCGCAGCCAATGATTGCTAACAGCCAAGCCTCTCCCTTAGTGATTCTGATTTTGAACCATTTTTGTATCCCGGTGTCAGAGTGTGATAACTTGAAAAATAGGCTCGATCAAGCAAACTTTTTTAGTATGTATATGAAAAAAACCAGCACATAAAAATTACCGGTATGTACCATATTTTACGCTAAAAGGATTTGGTTATTTGGTGTGCGATCGTCCTCTAAGAATACCATAAATAATGTTTGTGTACAAGAAGTCTGGAAGTTGAAGCGTGCCCAATAGATCTTTGTTGGTGGTGGCACTGTTAAATATTGATTATTATTTTACTAATAGCTAGTTGTTATCCGTGGAAGCAAGGGCATTCTAAACTTACATTTACATAATTCCACAAATCTTTCAAAACAAAATGTATCACTGATTAAACACGTTTGCCTGTTGCCTGTAACTGTGTCACGGACAGTGCAAAAAGTCCAACGGAACCACAGGGGCCTGCATGGCAGCCTATTCGTGTCAATACATCATGGACGTCTATGGGGTGGAAGGACGTCTATAGGGGTGGAAGGACTATGTCCCGGTACAGGACCTTACTCTTGCTCAAAATAATAGAAACTATATAATTAATACAGTTTGGTAATGTAATGCAAGCATATGTCATTAAATTTAAGTATCCATATATGTATATAACGAAATATGAGAATTTTTTTTTTTGATACTTAATTACCGCCGCGCTGTTTCTACCTCCATGGTTAAAATAAACTGTGCAGACGATCATATACAGACAGCATTCAAGAACTACAGAACTGCAAACAGATCTTACAAAGTAACTGGATGTACTGACCAGAGATTTTCGGGAACTGTTTTCCGGCATGTTCATTTTCACTTGGAATTCCCACGAAACATGGACGGATTCATATCCCCGATAGAATCTGAAATTTGTCGGCTTCCGCATAAACTACCCCCTCATATGGTGTTATCGATCGGATCTGCTGTTTTTATAGCTTTGCTTTCTACGGGCGTTCTATAACAATGTAGTGAGGTCGAACCCTCATTAACATTTATTGTAATTTTCTTTTTCTGAGTCAATATCCAAATTATTATTAAAAACATATTTAAATGAGCCATGGTAATTTGAACTTGTCATCCGTTGGTGACGCCATTTTTCTGAACAGAGAAACTAGGCTATTTTGGCGGGCTGCATATTTAGGAGATAGAAAGATATAGTAACAAAGTTACAAATAACGTCAGTTAAAAATTCAATATCAAAATATAATATTATTTATTAAAACTATAAATGTTGCTTTTTCAGCACATTGTATATGTACGATATTCGTTCTAAGAAGAAAAGAATGCGCATGCGATATTTTTGTCTGTTTCGTTTTTACATGTTGATAATACATGTATAAATATATATGGAATGTCATTTTTTTATATCTTCAAACATTTACATGTCCAATCATTATACCAAATCTGTAGAAAATTGGGCAATGCATGTTAAAAGAAGCCTGTGTACCAGGGTGACAGTGCACACGAAATTTATATTCTCGGGAGCGGACATCCAGGCATTTTCACTGCCTGGCAACCATCAATGGCCGAAAAGTCTAAAAAAAAAGTACTTTGAAATAATTGTTCAGACTCGCCTGAATAGTGTAAAAATATTATCCCTGCATGTGCAACATATATAAATTTGGTTGTTCGGGAATACGTCAAAGTTGATTTACTGTTGTTTTCTCGAATTTAGCTGTTTTCAACGGCTCTTCGGCCGGCGTTCAACAGCAGCTCGCGCAGACCCCATATAAATACATGGTACAGCGGAAGGCGTTGTGTCGTCACCGGAACTGCAGCGTCAATGAGCGGAAGGTCTTAGCATCGTGGAACGTTCTGTAACGTAGCTCCGCCCCGAGGATAAACAGAATCAGGTCTGTCAAAGACACAATGCATTGAGCGTTGTACAAATAATTCATCTCAATATTCTAAGGCATTTCTTTCATCTTTATACATTTCAATGGCAGTTGAATCAATGAGCAACATGACGTCATTTGAAAACTTTCTAATGCTATTCAATCAGCAAATAGAATCTATCATGATTAATACATGTACATGTACTGTAAAACACTTTATATTCGCTTGGAATTAATTTTCGCTATTTGCGCTGAAGTAATAATTCAATGAAAATAAAATCCAGCAAATATACCTTTTTTTTCTATATTTTACATTCAACTTTTCAAATATCAGTGAAAATAAATTTCATACAAAACACCCAAAAAGTTTTTCGGGGAAAATTAATTCCAGCTAAAATAAAGTATTTTACAGTATGCAAGTAGCAAATGACCACTAGTCCACCACGACATGTTTCCGTAACCCTGCATGTTCACCATCATATCAAATCTAAATAACATTGATCAATTTATTCCGTGAAAAGCTTGATGAATCACTAAAACTATGATTATTCGTTATTTTAAATTCAGCCAAAAAATAATCATACCAAATTTGAAAACAAAAAGGCCAACGCCTTTTGAGATTCGGAAAATGAGACTGTAGGGGTATGCCACTAGAGGGCGCTAGCCACCTTGAAAATGCGACTCGGAGTTGCAAGGCATGCTGGGCATGGTTACTGAAAAAGGCAATCGACTATCACAATCTTTTCAATTGTACTTGATTATAATTTATTATTCATATTTATTTTTACAAATGTTCATTTCAGGGTAACAGCAACCAAAAACATAAATGTGTTGGGCATTTAAAGTGCTCATCTACATTGAACCAATTTGCAAAGGGTGGGATTTAACAGATTTAGACTCAACACTCCTACGTGACAACAATGGGCATCTCATACCAATTGAACTCACCATGAAGTTAAAAAAGCTCCATGAGCAGACATAATGATCTCTCCTGCAATTAATGAAATTTAAAGGGCGGTTCTTGTCAATGCGTGTCGTGTTCGATACGGTGAGTTGACCAACACTCTTGCTTAAAGCGGAAGGGTCGTCACCTGCGCACGCGCGGTAATTGAGTCCCAATAGACGATAACAACACACGCTAAAAATGCAAAGGTTCATGAGTAGACGCTTGTTTGAAAACAATGACACGCTATGGTCATCTGACACAGGTGACGACTCCCCTGCTTTAACCTGACAGTTTGTACATGAATTCTCTTGTTACACAACCATCGACAT